AATCAAACCCACAGCCCCCAGCTTTATCACGATGTTTCCCTGACAGCTACAGTCAAGGGCAGTGGCATTAGTGTTGTTCAAGGACACTGACACGTGTCAAACTTCAGCAGTACAAACTGTTTGCTACTGCATGAACAAAGGGTGTTTGAAGGTATTTTAGTCAGTCCCTATTCAAGGTAATCTGAAGAAGGTACAGACATAAGGCTAGAGAGACTTCTTGGCTCACTGTTTCTACTTCTCTCCTTTTGCAAGACACCACGTCATACAGACCTCTTTAAAAACATGCCTACACGTATCTTAAAACCAGATGGCTTCCTGGGTCTCAATACTATGGGGTTCGTATGCTTTTGGTTGCTTGGAGAGTGTCCTACTGAGACGGTTTTTCATAGCACAACTTAGAAGCAATCAAATAGCAGTTTTGGTCTTCTGACTAGCTCATAAGACCAGCATTTTTTTTTTAATTAATGTGAACAGCTAATTTTAACAACAGTCTCTTCCCCCATCTTTCTGCCTCATGGTCCATACATTTTTTGCATGCATACACCTGTCTTCACAACTGCTTGTTCTCTCATTTCCTGCCCTATCAGTACATTAGACCAGGCCTGACAGCAAGATTCCAGCCTCTTGCCACAACTGAAACCCTGAAATCTGCCTGGAGAAAACCTGCTAATGTAAGGCTGCTTCTTTTTCTTTTTTCCTTTTTTTTTTAATGATTTCAATTCAGATCTTAAATCAGCATTTAAAAAGATGGTAAGGCTGCCAAATACTGAAGGTAGCAAACAACTCAGATTTTTCTGAAAGCATCTTGTGGCAGCTGCAAGTTCGTGTTACATTTACTTAGAACAGCAATTGCCTTTGGAAATTAGATTTTCCTGCTTGTTCAAAAGATTTGTGATGAGTAACTATAAAAATTCAAAATTTAACTCGCTAAGTGCCAGTGTTAGCAAGCAGAGGTAGAAGATGTGTCTGGCAAAAATTAAGCAGAAATGGAAATCAATCATCAGATAATGCAGGTCATTTCTTTGATAGTACCCTCTGATACCCCTCAGAGCATATATGCTCACAGTGGTTCTAAACATCTCTAAACAGTACAGTTTGCAAACTCTTCCCCATTACAAGAGATCTCTCTCAGGAACAAGTACATCTTGCTATCCAATCTAGATTTTAATTTTGGTCTTTTCATCCTTCTTGTTATATTCCCCAGGTACTCCTCCTTATTGGTATTTTCGGTTAGTTCTTCTTTAGTCAAACCCTAAATATTTCAATTTTTCTTTCAGTGACATGACAATTTTCCACCATCCTTTCTGTAAGAAGATTTGATTTGCCAAATTATTTTGTTATTTTGGTAATAGGTTACCTAATAGATCTGGTGCCAGAAGGTGTCCATGAACCATTTGTCTTTCAATATTGTCTGTAAAAGATGAATTTTCAGACGTGGATTATTGGAACAATAAGCCAAAGGGCCCCTGGGACACAGTAACCAGCACTTGGGAGACAGAAAGGCAATCAAGGGTGGCTGGATTTCAAGGGAATGTGACAGGCATTTAAAATCAATTGATATTTTCTGTTACTGTTTGCTAGGAGTGTTTTTTCTCCTCTCACTGGCTTTTTGTTGCATTTTTTTCCTCCCATGCTGCAGCACCCACACAACACTCAGAGACTTAAGTGAAGACTGGGATGTCACTCCCTGCTCCCATGGAAAGGAGGGTAACGCATTCCAAACAGACTAAGCACTGTGCACCACTCTTCCAGGAGCAATTCCATCAAAAAAACGTATTAGCATCTTCTCCAGATGTGGCCAGACTGATTAAAGAAAACATGGTTCCTACATTTTACTCACAGAGCACTACTTAAATGCAATGCAGTATCTGCAGCATCCTTACATTTTTCATTAGGTATCACTACGCCACACGAGGTAAGTTACAGCACATCCTTGCTGCAGCACTACTCATAGCTGTATAACCAGCTTAGGGCTCAGCACTGAGACATACAGACAGATGAGAGAAGAAGCACAAGTCCAAAGAGTGGAATGCAGCTTGCTTAATTATAGATGTCTACCATATGACATAAGTACCTGACAGCTAGGTACTAGGTACCCATGATTGTCACTGGAGACCTAGTCAATACAGCTCATGTAGTTTAGGGTACAATTCATTTCAACAAGGGTAGGGTGAGGCAAATTATACTTGAAACACTACCAGCACTAACAAGTGCATCTACACTAATTCACACACAGGTGTCTTCCAAAACAGTGAGGCAACACTGAATATTTTGGATTAAAAAGTAACATGCCTCACAAACGGATAAATATCAACCCCCAAAAGGTTAACACTGAAGGTAGAAGAAAATAAGACTTATCTTATTGAGACCATCTGCTGTAGCAATCAAAGCAGTTAGAATCCATTTGCTTGCAGGAGTCCATAGAGAATATCATGAACCAATTTGAGTCAAAATAAATTAGTTTATTTTGTTCTGCACAGCCAAAACCCATCCCACTTAGTTTTACCTACCTAAATAAAGAGCACAGCCTGTTCTAGGCTTTTCTCCATAAACAAAACAAAGAGAGGTTGCTCCAAAGGGACACTCAGTACCACCTAAGGTCTTATTTGTCCTTTAAATGTGTTTATCTCTTGTTAGTGACTATAAAGAAAACCAGGCTACAACCACCCTCTTGGTATATCAGCTTCAAATAGACTCCAGTGACTCTCAGTAAAGAAAGTATGAACAATTCGGGGTTCTACTTGCCGGGTTTTCCTCCCTCAAAACCCACAAATGTGACAGTTATGATAAGCAAGAAAATAGTTCACACTTACAGCAGGATTTACTGTGGTCCCATTATTGAAACCCACTCCTATTTATTCTTCCTAAGGGGTATCAACAATTGCATCTCAGGATCCCTGCTGTGAGAAGCAAATTTTTTCTTCTACTGTGACACAACACCAATTCTGAACTGTACAGTATTCCAGCAGATTGTGTTCAATATTTCAGGGAGTCCAGTGCAGTGTTTTTCTCATTCATTACTAGCAATCAAGTCATTTGAAAGGAAATGAGAGATGAAGAGCTAAACATTCATTTGGAGAGAGATAATCAAAAGCATAAAAGTCTTGTCTCAGATTTTGCATATGATTTTTCAGCACTAGGGAACATATAATTGATGCATTACTGATACATCTAACTACTATCAAACTAATATCAGAATAACAAATAATATCTAATACTAACACCAGAAATAACATAAATTTAGACATAAATTTATCATATAAATTATATTATAAAATAACATAAATTAACTTTAGAAAGTTAATTACCAATGGAATATTACTCTGAAGAATAGGTGATATTAACCCTTTTTATAAAGCAACAAAAACCTGACAGACATGCGTTAGCTTAACATTGACAATGCAAAATACAGTATTACTGCACAATGCATGGGACATGCTATTCTAAAAGACAACTATGTATTTTGACAGATGACTGCATTATGAAAGGCTGATACATTTGAGGAACACCAATAAGGAGAGATGAATCAAATGGTATGAGTATGTTCCCTGTTGATACCACTCAAGCTGTTGATAACTCTCAAGCTCTATTCTACAGTGACAAAAATGAAACAGAAAAAGGCAAAGAAATAGAGAAATCCTTAAGTAGAAATGCCATAAGATTAATAGAAAGTGAGGCACACAAATAAAACCATGTTTTCAAGAACAAGTAAGTGGATACTCTGCAGAGTCACAGATTTAATGCCCTAATTCTAGATCACGCAACCAAACACTTCTTTCATACTCCATATCTACTTCAACCTGCTGGAGTGTTGGACCTCTGAGCAAACAGGTTTTAAAAAAATAATCTGACTAACCGACTACTGCTACTTCCAAATTAGCAGCCAAAGTGTGTTCATAACACATTCAAAACAAACAAGCCTACGCATTACCCAGAAAATTTTCCCATGTTAACAATTCCAGATTCCAAACCAAATACGGAACACCTAAACCAAAACTATGGTTATCAAAAAGTAACACTTTAAACAACTTATGCTCTATACGAAACCTAAAGTATTTTCTCAGCATATGAAAGTCATCAGGATTGCAGTCACGCAAGCACATACCCCATTTCAGTAATTTTATCCAGGATCATTCTACAAAAGGAAACTTGATCTGAGCTACCATTGTAGCTCTTAAGTTAACAGAATGGTAGCTTACTTAAGCTTTATAAGACATTTTCTTTTTGTCAGAACTATACAGCACTTTTTCATACTACATAAGAAATATTTTGCAGGCTAAATAAAAGATATTTACATTATTTCATTGAACTATAAAAAGACTCAATTTCAAAGCTAACGGATACACCGACCCCACAATAAAACAATGCCATAGCAAATGGCATTGCATAGATTGCTTTCCTTCATCTTTTATATTGCCTCCAACATACTTCAGAATAACATATTTTACCATGGTGAAAGAATGCTCCTTGATATTGCTTTTAGTGTACCTTTCTCTAATTCATTTTTCCCCAGCACTTGAGAAAATTCTCTTTTTTTCATTTAAGCAAGGCAATAGGAAGTAAGAACAACCACCTGCAAAGAATCAAACTGTGAAAGAATCAAAACTGTGAAGAATCAAAATATGAAAACAGAAAAAAATGTACTAAAAGATTGTTGTACGGCAGCTGCTTTATGCTTAGTGTGATAAAACTTGAAAGGTATGCACAATTATTTTAGCTAGCTTTGGTAATCTTGAAAGACTAGTTAAAGTCATATCACAGCTATTCACAAAAAGTTACAAAATTTAAGTTATTAGTTTTTTGTCAAATATTTTATACTAACAAGCTTAAATGCTTTCACCGAGCAGAATACAGCTTTCAAGCTCTCAAATGCTGTAGTTTTAAATACCTCCTTTTCTGAAAACTCCAAGCCTTCTGAAACATACTTCTAACTTCAAAAGAGGCATGGGATCCTTTTACACATAGAGAAGGGATTTTTGCAAACAGTTCCAAATCCTTACCTTTCTGTAGACTATCATATTTGGAGAACTCTCCTCTGGGTCAGCAGTTTCCGCACTACTCGGATCAGCGGGCACTTGGGCCATGTTTGCCTCCTGTCGCTCAAACTGCAAGGACAGGAGCAAAAGTCAGCATCGCTTCAGGCTGCACTGGAGCATGGCAAGGACACCTCCAAGGCAGGCAGACAGAGGTAATCACACTCCAGACTTCAACCCATGCAGGAATTTATCACACTGTGTCAGAACTGTCTTGTCTACTGGATAATGCCCCAAGAACCAGGACCACCAAGTCACATACAGCTGTGGTTTGGGTCATCACACACACATTTCTTCCCCCATTTTGATCTTTTATCATTCAGCGAAAGTCCAATTAATACTTCATACTTCCTTTCCTTGCTATATAGCACAAGCAGCTTTGACTTTTATAGAATCTTTGGAGTACCTGCAGACAAAAAGCCAAGAAGGATAAAGAGCTTGCTGTGATGCAGAGTAAACCCCAGTGCAGCTGGGGGGTTAAGCAGACTGTCAGTCACACTGCCGACTGTCGCCTGCAGATACTTCAAGTCATTTACGGCTCTCTGCAACCCCAGAGCAGCAGCCAGGTTCCAGGGAGGAACGGCTGCTTGCTCAGAGTAAGCAGTGTCTCTCATCTCTTCTCATGACACAGCTGGGAACAGGCAGCAGGACAGGCAGACTACCGCACGTAATACTCCTTATCTTCTAAAAGCACAGAACTGCTGCCTCATCTCCTCCAGGTCAGGCCAGGCTTGAGGCAACAGCATCAGTCTGAATAAAGGAAAAAAGGGGCCTGGTGCAGGGAAGGCACTTCAAATTCTAAGTCAAATGTTATATTTTAAATTTTATTTCCACCAGAATATTTGACAAGTTCCATCTCAAATTAAAGGCTGCTGTGGAGCTGTTTGGTGACCTCTCCTACCCTTAGAAGTAACATTGCCTCGTACAGACACTGGCACTAAAGCTGCCTGACAAGTTCAATTTCTTTAACATTGGAAGTACTGAAACGTCCCATCTCAACATATTTTATTAAAAACTAAGACAAAAAAAGCACCTATGTTCACACAAGCATAATCTACACATTCATTTCTAAAACACAGTTCACCACTAAACTCTCTCTCTTACTTATGGAAGGTACTTTCCTATTCCTTCCTCTACCTACTTTCACATTGCCACAGGCGACAAAGTGCCCCAGTATATAATATACATACACAGCATACAATTATATGTATAGTACAGCCCTGAGCCATTCTAGCTGTCAGTTATCAGCTCCCAAGGACAAGTCAAGAGCCAGAATCAGAAAAGCTCAGACTGCATCCCAGCTCTGTCCTATTCTCCACAGTGAAAATGCTACAGTTGTAATGTGGCATCCTCCACTGAAGCCACAGCAGCTGAGATACCCCTTTAAGCAAGACATAAAAGACACCAAAGTTTAATAATCTACATCAATCCAGATTCCTTCATTTCCTATATAAAGTACGAGTGCACACACACACACAAGTGGGCACAAATGCATTTGTACATGCACATACCAATTTTGAAATTCAGTAATAGAGTTCAAGCTCAAATTAAATAATATATATACAAATCACCTTTTCAAGGCATATTCAGACCAATTTAGATGCTGTTTTATATTTAAAGGAAATAAATTTATATTTACCCCTATTAAACCTCATGGCTTTCTACAAGCCCAAACACTGTACTGTTGTGCCAGGTCATGAGCTAAAAAGGAAACATAATAAATTCTCTAAGCAAGATTATTAGATGCAAAAACAATCAAATAGCACAAATGTTGAAGCGTAAAGCATTTTCAAATTATAGCACTTTGAATTATTTACACTAATGTGCATTTTCACAACATTGCTTAGTCATGATTTCAAGACACTGAAGAATTAGGCTCGAGGTTATCATCACTCAGTTGAATGGATCAAGAACAGGGTAGAGATTTTATGTAACTTTTTGAAGGCAATTACAAAGCAGAGTTGAAAGCATATGTCAAGTCACCCGAGTTTCAGTTTCACCTGCAATATATAAAGACCACATTCACCGCTTACATTATATGTGAGATTTTATAAGCATACTTTAAAAGAAAACAATTACAATTAACTTTCAATTGAGCAATGATCTTTAAAGAGCAAAATTACAATTTCTAATCGAAAAGCCCTCTGCAGCATTACTTAGCTGCGCTTCACTCATTGCATTATTCACTTTGAACGTCCACATTTACAAATTCTGTTCTCTTGTTATACTGTCAGCTCACTTGATCTTTTCTGATACTTCAGGATTTTCCCCCATAGCAATTCTTGAAGCTTTTCATCTACTCTAGTGCAACAAGACAATAACATCTTGTACAAGTGCAGCAGTAGCTTGCATGCTGTTCATGGTGACATTGAAGGAGCCACCGATTGTCTTTGAAGGTTTACATAAGGTAATCAATACAAATGGACCAACCTGTTGTTGGAAGATAGAAATTTGCAAAAGTGATTCCCACTAGTGCCCAGCATCTCCTACTGGATTTCAGACAGGAGCAGCAGGAGCTGCTTTGCAGGAGCGACAGCAAGATGGACATCTCAGAGAACAAGGCTGGAGACAAGGTAGGACTGAGGTGCACCTTGGAGCAGAGACAAGTGTGGACATCCCCTCCACACAGCCCAAGCATTGCTGCTGCTGAGATGGGCCTTAGCAGGCCAAGTCAGGGCCTTTGAGGAATTGTGACGGCTCTGACCATTGTCCAAGTTTTTTTCTCTTTCTTATAGATTGCTTTTTTTAAAAAAACAAAAACAAAAACCACATAATCATTTCTCAGATAGTATTCTACAGGAAAAAAAGACTACAGATAAAATAAGGCAGTGATATGACAAGGGCATGTTCTTGGCTCTTCAAGGTGAAAGCACAGCAATGCTGGGTCCCAAGGATCCCATTACACCTGTGCTTTTTAACATACGGGAGTTGAGTGGAGCTCAGCACCCAGTGATGCAGGACTGCTTCACACAACCGCAGAATGGTTGGTGTTGGAAGAGTATTGGAGGTCATCTAGTCCAACGTCCTGGCTCAAGCAGGGTCTCCTAGAGCACATTACTCACAACTGTGTACAGATGGTTTCTGAGTATCTCCAGAAAAGGAGACTCCACAACTGCTCTAGGCAACTGTTCCAGTACATAGTCACCTACGTAATAAAGAAGTTCTTCCTCATATTCAGGTGGAATTTCCTGTGGTTCAGCTTCTACCCATTGCCTCTTGTCCTACTGCTTGGCACCACTGAGAAGAGCCTGGCTCTGTCCTCTTGACACCCTCCTTTCAGATACTTAGACATTGATGAGATCTCCCCCCCTCAGTCATCTTTTTTTGAGACTGAACAGGCCCAACTCCTTCAGCCTTTCCTCGTAAGACTGATGGTCCAGTCCTCTAATCATCTTCGTAGCCCTTTGCTGGACTTGCTCCAGAAGCTCCACATCTCTTGTACTGAGGACACCAGAACTGGACACAGGACCCCAGATGTGGCCTCACCAGGGGTGAACAGAGTGGCAGGATCACATCCCTCGACCGGCTGGCAACGCTCTTCCTAATGCAGCCCAGGATTCCATTGGCCTTCTTGGCCACAGTGTTGGCTCATAGACAGCTTGTTGTCCACTAGGACCCTCAGGTCCTTCTCCACAGCACTGCTCTCCAGCAGGTCAGACCCCAGCCTGTACTGGTGCATGGGGTTATTCTTCCCCGGGAGCAGGACTCCATACTTTGTTGAATTTCAAAAGGTTCCTCTCTCCCCATCCCTCCAACAAGCCGAGATCTTTCTGTTGAGCTGCACAGCATTCTGGGGAATCAGCCACTCCTCCCAGTTTTGCATCATCAGCAAACTTGCTGGAGGCACTCTGTCCCTTCATCCAAGTCATTGATGAGCAAGTTAAACAATACTGGGCCCAGTACTGATCCTTGGGGGACACCACTAGTGACAGGCTTCCAACCAGACTGTGCCAGTGATCATAATTCCCTGAGAGCTGCCATTCAGCCAGTTCTTAAACCACCTCACTGTCCACACGTCCAGTCCACGCTTCCTGAGCTTGCCTGTGAGAATGTCATGGGAGACAGTGTCAAAAGCCTTGCTGAAGTCCAGGTAGACAACATCCACTCCTCTCCCCTCACTTATCCAGACAGTTGTCCCATCGTAGAAGGCAATCAGGTTGGTTAAGCATGATTTCCCTTTGGTGAATCCATGCTGACTATTCCAGATCACCTTCTTGTCTTCCACATGCTTAGAGATGGCTTCCAAGTTAAGCCATTTTATCACTTTTCTGGGGACTGAGGTGAAGCTGACTGGTCTGTAGTTCCCTGGGTCCTCCTTCTTGCCCTTTTTGAAGACTGGGGTGACATTTGCTTTCTCCCAGTCCTTGGACACCTCTCTTGACTGCCATGACATTTCAAACATGATTGAGAGTGGCCTAACAATGCTATCTGCCAGTTTCCTCAACACTCATGTGTGCATCCCATCAGGGCCCACAGACTTGTGGATGTCAAGTTGGACTAAATGGTCTCTAAACCAATCCTCCTCAATCAAGGGAAAGTCTTCCTTCCTCCACACCTTCTCCCTAGGGTTGGTGATTCACCAGTCTTGAGTGTGGAGGAAGCGATCCTTGAATACTGGCCATCTCTCTTGGACCCCTCTTCCCATTAGCACATTCCAACAGGATTCTTCCAAGAAGGCCCCTGAAGAGGCCAAAATTAGCTCCTCTGAAGTCCAGAGCTGCAATCTTACTCATTGTTCTGCTTCCTCCTAGCAGGATACTGAACTCCACAATTTTGTGGTCACTACAGCCAAGGTTGCCCAAAATCTTCACATCTCCAACCAGACTTTCCTTCTTAGTTAGTATAAGGTCCAACAGCACACCTTTCCTCATTGGTTCTTCCACCACCTGTATCAGAAAGTTACAGTCAATGCTTTCCAAGAACCTCCTGGATTGCTTTCCTGTACTCCTGCCATACTAAAGTCTGACCTCAAGCCAATTCTCAAATGGGGCATTCTCACTAGCCTGAGGATTGTGGCACTGACTTAACACCCAATGAACACAAACAAACCACTGGCTACAAGGCAATAACAC